AGGACCTCCACGCTATAGCTCACCTTCTTGGAGTGGAGGTAGGTGTAGGTGTTGTCGAAGCGCAGGACGTCTGCGGGAAGGGAAGGGGGAGAGGGAAGGGGGGTGTCAAGGACGCGGGGAGCACCCCCTGGAGGGGTCCCCGCGGGGAAAGGGGGGAGCGCTCACAGATGCCGGGTGTGGAGCAGGTGAGGGAGCCGTCCTCGGGCACCATGTGCGAGTTGTAGCGTTGGTTGGGGTAGACCTCGGTCATGTCGCCCGCCCGCTGCCGCTCCCCGATTTTGGTCTTCAGGTACACCCCGAATCCCACATCGGCTCCTTCCGACCTAAACTGCCACCTGGGTCGGAGAGAGATGGTGGCGGGGTTGGGGACACCCACCATTGTGTGTGTGTGTCCCCATCTCCATGGCATGGAGCCCCCTCCTCACCTGAGGACGCAGCCGGGGAAGAGGATTTCGTACTCAACCTGGTGGGACGAGCCGCGGTTGACCACCACCGTGTGCTCGTACTGCTGCGCCAACTGGTCTCGCACATAGTAGTGCTGGGGCACGTCCCCCCCATAGTTGATCTGGAAGGGGTTGGAGATGGACGTGGGTATGGTATGGGAGGGGACACGCCACCCCTGAGGAACCCAGGGGGGCTTCTCCTACCTTGCTCGGGCACTTGGGGTTCCCGTCGGGGTCCATCAGGGTGCCCCCGTACTCCACCGGGATCTGCTCGGGGTCAATGTACTTCTGCAGGACCTCCTTCCAGTTGGCTGGTGGGGTGGGGGACAGCAGGGTTTGGGGGGGCTGTGACCCACGCGGGGAGCCCCAGCCCAGGCAGGGACCCCCCCCTCCCTGGGGGTCTCATCCAACAAAAGCGGAGAGGGGGACGTGGCATCCCGTTTTCAGCTGGGGACATCCCGGGGAGGGGGTCAGGACTCACATCCCAGGACCACGACCTTCTTGCGGGTGTCCTCGCTCAGGAAGTGCTTGACGAGGTTGTAGGCCACGGGGAAGATCTTGGGGGCTGGGGGGGAGGACGGGGGGGCGTTAGGGTGGGG